ATTCCACCGCCATTAACATAAACTCAATCTTCCCGAGGCAACAACCCTTTCTCCTTCACCCATGGTAAACATTGGTTAAGTTCGGTTTCTTTCTTTCTTCCTTTTTTAGTCGTGTTCTTGATGTAATACTCACATATCATACACTTCCATGGTTAAGTCGCAAAAAGAATTGTATACACATCATCACAATCAGTTCTAGTGCCCCTCCGCCCTCTGGTCATGCAAAATCCTCTCATGGGATCTGCAGCTTCATTTCCATCACCAAGACCTTGTTTTCCAACTACTGTCCCTTCCTCGCTGTTCCCAACTGTTCCACTCCAATCGCCAATGATTATCAGTGCATCTTGACTGTGTTTGATTATTTCCAGACAGAAAATATTGATAGAATTCTTCCATTTCTACAGCCCTGCTGGCACAGTGGTTACGTGTTGGGCTAAACGAAATAGTGAGCCTCATATTTGAGCTACCTGATTCCTCACACACTTTTACTGGGATCACCACCTCCTTGGAGAATCACGGTGCTCTGTTGGGAATGCCAGCATTGATCTAGCAGGGCTGGAATGAGGAAGAAGGGCGAGGGGAGGAGGGCAACCTTGGATGTAAGTTGTGGCTGCTAATCATAAGGTCAACAGTTTGAAACCACCAGCCCCTCCCTGGGAGAAAGGCAGGGCTTTCAACTCCAATAAAGAGTTACAGTCTCGGAAACCCACAGGGACGGTTCTACCCTGTCCCATAGGGTCGCCATGAGTGGGCATCGACTCAACAGCCGTGACTTGGAGTTTCTGAGTTTGAGCTTGCGTGGTTGGGGCATACATTCGAATAATAGTTGTCTTGATTGGATGTCCTTGTATGCGGACAGACAGTCTCCTGTCAAAGACAGCATTGTACTTCAGGATAGATCGTGAAATGTCCTTTTTGACGATGAATGGACGGACGCCAGTCCCCTTGCTTGTGCACTCCCAGCCCAGGAGACCAGATCATTTTTGGATCCAGAATGTTCAGTTCCAGCCTGCTTCAGCTCACTAGCATCTAGAATAGTGATCTTTATGTTCAACGTTTCATGTTTAACCACTTCTCATTTTCCTAGTCACACTTCGTGCATTCCAAGTTCCACTTACTAATCGGTGTTTGCAGCTGGGTCTCCTCAGGTTGCGTTGTGCCCCACCAGCAAGGGAAGGTCCCGTAGGTGTTACTCTCATAGACTGGACTCCAGCCGCGTCATTACGGTCAATCCTAGTTGAGAAAGCAGCTCTTCCTCAGTTACGTTGTGAGTGCTTTTCTACACGAGGGACTCCTTTTCTGCCACTCCCCCGACCACGCTTTGTTTTATTCACTAGATTCGGAGTAACCGACAATGCTTCTACGCTCCGCAGAAAGTTTTCAGTGGCTCAGTCCTCTGAAGTGAAAAGCCTGTTCCTTCTCCATAGTCTGTTCTTAGTCTGGAAATGCTGCTCACTCTGGGTTGGCGTTTGAAATACCAGGGACATGGCCTTCCTTCAGCATCACAGCAACATACAAGCCACCACAGCACGACAAACGGACAAACTGACAGACAGATGAGTGGTGTTTCTTCATCTTAAAGTAAACTAAAACAAAAGCCCTCACAGCTGCATCAATAAGCAACATCATGATAGAGGGAGAAAAATTGTCAAGGATTTCATTTTACCTGCATCCACAATCAACATTCAGGGAGCAGCAGTCAAAAAAAAAATTCAAATGGTGTATTGCATTGTGTAATTCTGCCTCAAAAGCCCTCTTTAAAATGTTCAAGCCAAGATTCACTTCGAGGACTGTGCTGTGCCTGACTCCAGCCATGTATTTTTTTATTGTCTCATAGGCATGTGGGAGCTGGACAATGGATACGGAAGACCAGAGAAGAATCGATGCCTTTGAATGGTGGTGTTGGCCAAGAATCTTGAATGTTCCATGAACTTCCAGGGGAAAATAACCAATCGGTCTTGCAAGAAGTACAACTAGCATTCTCCTTTGTCTCTAAGTACTTTGGACACGTCAGAAGGTGGGTCCAGCCCCTGGGAAAAGCCATCATGTTTCGTAAAGTCAAGTCGGTGAAAGAGAGGAAGGTCTTCAATGATGGACCGACACAGTGGCTGCAGCCGTGGTTAGAAACGTCGGCCACGACCCAGGAGCAGGCAGGGTTTCTTTCGCTCTGAGTTGGAAGCGACCCAACAGCACATCCGAACAAGAGCACAGGGGTCAGAGGTTTGGTCATACGCTCTCTCCTGAAGCAGAGGCATATCTTTGGGGAAATAGCACCTATGGTTAGCACAGAAATTGTACCCTGTCCAAACATCTGACATTTGTCTTTTAGATAACTTTACCATCATATCATATCAGCTCAAAAGAGCAAGTCAGGTTGCCTATAAATGTTTTGCAGTGTTTCTGCAGAAATTACTTTTTAGGAAGATAAGGGGCCCTGGTAGCAGCTAAGCAAAGGTGGACGATTCAAATCCCCCCCGTAGCTCTGCAGGAGAAAGGTGTGGCAGTTTGCCTTGTCACAAGTCAACAGCCCCAGGAATGTTCTGGGGCCAATTCTACTCTGTCTAAAGGGTCAGAATGGACCTCAGGGCAGTTGGTTTGGTTTTTATTAAAACATTTCTATAGTCGATTATAACAACAAACACATTGTTTTTATAATCCCAGTTTATATATATCGATATATATATATGGCCAAAACTCCATTCTACTTTCCTTTTGGGACTTCAAATATATTCTAAGGCAACCTGGTGGTGCATTGGGCTGATAACCTGCAGGTCCGCAGTTCAAACCCATCAACTGTTCCTTGGAAGGAAGCAGCAGAAGATTCCCAGCCTGGGACATCTGCGCAAGCAGTTCCACTCTGTCCCCTAGGGTTGTTAAGAGTGGAACTCAACTCAGTGGCAGTGTTGTTGTTGCTGATTTTTTGTGTTTTTTTAAAATTTAAAACATTTTATTAGGGGCTCATACAACTCTTATCACAATCCATACACACATCAATTGTGTAAAGCGCATTGGTACTTCATTCTCAAAACATTTTCTCTCCACTTAAACCCCCGACATTAGGTCCTCACTTTTCCCCTCCCTGTTGTTGCTGTTTTAATGGGGATTCATTTCTTTTTAAATTTCAGACGGTTTTATTGGCACATAATCCACCTAACATTCAATTCAGTAGTTCAATGGGCTTGGCTTTTTTGGCTTAGAGTGAGCTCTGGGCAGAGCTATCATTCACCACATCAATCACAATCATCATTGAGTTCTGTGGTGTCATCTGTATGTGCTAGAAGCCACACTGTTTAGTTGCTGTGGTTTTCAGTTGCTGATTTGGTCAAATTTTCTGGTGTTTGACCTACAATATTGTGATAGTATTTGTGAACCTATATAACTTTTCTGAGAATGAAGTAGGACAAAGTAAAAAAAGGTGTCTGCTCAGTATTAATAATGCAATTCAGTGTAGAAAGATTTTCCAAAAACCATTTTATTGCTAGTATTCATAGACTCTAAGACGTTTGGTTGAAGGGGAAGCCAGTAATAGACAAAAGGAGGAGAGAAAGCAAAGGGGAGGCGGGGCAAGCTCTGGGGGGGTTGTTAAGTAGCGTATATATAATATATATACAATATATAATACAAAATTGTAAGCTCCCACTTATTTCACAATTTTTAAAATGTAAAGGATTGATACACATTACTAAAGATTCCCTGTGGTCAGGTAAGGAAGGCAGTCCCTGGAAGGTGGAGGAAGGGGGAGGGGGCATGAGTCACTTGGTGACATCAACCCCTTTTTCAATATCAAAGTTACCTTTTTCCCAGTTTCTTCCCATTCTTCGTGCAGCAGAACAACATCGCAGCCTTTCAAATATGTAATGGTTCCTTTGAACTTGGTGAGTGATAGCTCACCACTCTGGCTATGAAAACAGCCGTGGTAATCGAAACTGCTCAAGAGCGCCCCCCTCTAGCACCCCACCCGCCCTCCCTAAGGGGGACGCCAAGGGGCGTCCAGGGCAGCTGCCAGATCACCCGACCTCTCGCAGGTCTCTGAGGGGCTTGCGTACTCCGTCTGAGCCGGGTGCCCAGGCCCAGGCCAGATGCAAAGTGCTTTAACACTTCTTGGCTGAGTGAATGAACGGGGACCGGCACTCCTGGGCTGTGCTTCCTCTTCCCTACCTGTCCCTTCTGTGTCCATCACAACAAGGAGCCGCTCTCCGGCAGGTCAGGGCGATCCCTGGCCCTTGGTCTCCTGCTAGTCTGGCTACCCGCTCTCCATGTTGGGGAAGCTGGTGGGTCCCTGGGTGGGAGAAGGGAGGCCAGACCTGCTCTACCTGAACCTCGTGAAGTTAGCGCCAACATAGCGATGAGATTGAGGAACCGGACATGACTGTGGGGACCGAGGAAGGCGGGCTATGTAGCAAAGTGGGAGTGGAACTGGACAAGGGAGGTCTAGAAAGGTGCGGGGCCCGGGCTCCCGGGCTGAGCGGGCCGTGAAGAGGACTGAGAAAGCCGCGACTTCCCCCTAGCGTCGAGAGCCGGAACTGCACCGCGTCAGCCCCGCCGCACCGCTCCCCCCAGGCGCGGGTGCCCCCTCGCGGAGAACCTCCACTCCGCTCCGCTCCCAGCTCCCCCCGCTCCTCCACAGCGACGCAGCCCACGTAGAGCCTCCGAGCGCCGGCGACGACGTCCCCGCGCAAGCGTACGTGGGAGGCTGAGAACCCGGAAGTTGCGTTATAGGCATGCGTCTGGGGGGCTCGCCGAGTTGTGGGCGCAAGGTTGGGATCCTCGGGATCGGCAGAAGGAAGCCCGCAATCTTTTGGGGGCGGGGGTGGGGTGCAGCACTGGGCCGATTCAAGGGGGAGGTGTCCAAGTCTTCTCGCTCTTTAAGGCCTGCGAGGGGACTCTCGGGATTTTAAAGAGGAGACGTCTGCGACGAGACTGGAGAGTCGCAGCTTCTCCTCCCGGAGTCCGGGGTGAGGGGTGGGGGGGTGGGGGTAGGGAGGGACTGTTGTAATCTCCTGGCCCCGGACGAAAGGCCCAGACGCCAGGCACCATGGCGTCCATCCTGGATGAGTATGAGGACTCGCTGTCCCGCTCGGCAGCCCTGCAGCCCGGCTGTCCCAGCGTGGGCATCCCCCACTCGGGTAAGAGAAGGGTGGGTGCACGCCACTTCTCGGCTCTGCAAGCACTAGCGCTCCGGTTCACCTCCAGGGCCCTATTGTGCCGTTCTGGGCCCCTGGTTCTCCTCCTGCTCCCAACCGCCAGCTGGTGAATAGAACATGGACGGGGCAGGCATGTGATCCAGGCCCTGCCACTGGGGCCCCTCGGAGAGGGAACTGGGACCCAGGGAAGGAAGTGACTGGCCTGTCGCGCTGCAGTTGGGCAAGTGGGCCATCTGGAAATAGGCTCCAGACTTTTGATGCTTGAGTTGGGGCACCTCACACCCACCCACCCCCGCCCCCGCTCCCAGGCCCTTTCCCTCTAGGTCCTAGAGGGAACGGAGTCACTGAACAGTGGGGGTACAAAAGGCCTACTGTTTAGGCCTTGTGCACCCTGGATGGAGTTAGGGGACAGCTTTGTAGAAGAGAGCGCAGAGTAGGCAGCTGGATCGGAAGTGCTAGGTTATGTTGAGCAGCAGTGATGGAATGAATGTACAGATGACAGAGAACTGCAGTTGTTAACACCACCTGGGAGATTTTCCCAGGCCACCCAATTCCTTCTTCTCATTGAGACTTACTGAGAGCATTCCTGCAAAGGGGTGGGGAGGCAGGAAGAGAGTGGGTTAGACTAGTTGAGTTGAGATTGCTGGTCAAAGACTGATAAGGGGAAAATTATCAAGCCCCCCCTCCCCCCAACTGGGACCGAGTACATCAGCGTCTCGAGTTCAAAGAACCAGCCCCTTACTGTTGTCAGAAATGTAGGAAGAGCCTAAGACCCACAGTGTGCAGGTGATTAGCCAGGGACTATTTGTTAGCAAAAGTCCGGTTTTTGTTTCTGTTTTTCTGTCTCTCCCTGCCTTTCCTCCCTCTCTTCCATCGCTAACCTGTGCTTCCCTCCTTGCCTGCAGGGTATGTGAATGCCCAGCTGGAGAAGGAGGTGCCCATCTTCACGAAGCAGCGGATTGACTTTACCCCTTCAGAGCGCATCACCAGTCTGGTCGTCTCCTGCAACCAGCTCTGTATGAGCCTGGGCAAGGATACGTTGCTCCGGTAACAAAGGCTTGGGGAAGTGGGTAGATTGGTGGTATTGAGGATGAATAATGGACATGCTCAACAGGTGAAACAGTGGATTTGGGATTTTCGAGTTGTACATCTCTTTCCAAAGAGAACCAGTGTAGTACAGTGGTGAAGATTCAGGTAGACCTGGATTCTGAACCCAGCCCTACCGCGGACCAGCGGTGCAATCTCTCCAAACTTGTTCTTTCGTCTGTTCAAGATGGTGTCCACCACCGGTTAGTCCCATGGAACTATGGAAGAGTCTGGAATTCTGAAACAGGGTCAATAAATGGAAATAGGATATGAGGAAGCAGAAGTGCCAAATGCCCTGCAGTTGGAGCTCATGGCAAAGCCATAGGTTAGGTTAGTACTTCTCCCTAGCATGTCTGAGCTGTAAATCTGTGGTATGCAGACGGCCACATCCGTCTCCAGCACAGCGGCTGGGGGGTTTGAATTGCTGATAGTTCCATTAGCAGCTGCGTGGTTTAATCACGGCGCTACCATGGGTGCCAACGAAATTGTTTAACCCTCTGGACTAAACATTCAGGTATAAGCAAGTCTCCATATCACCAAAAAAATTGATGCCAGGTGAGATATTTAAATGTAGCAAATGAACAAGGATATGAAATGAGTACGTAGTACATTTCCACATCCTCGGGCCGAAGGGAGACCATCTTACATAAGCGAGGAACCCAGAAGCCCCAGGGGGAAAGGTCAATGTATTCAACTATGCAAACTTAGCTTCTCTGGCAAAGCAGTAACAAAAGAGGACTGACAATAAACAAACAAACAAATAAATAAACGAGGACCGAATCTGGTGGAGACAAAGGATAGATGGGGAAAGGAAGTTTGTCTCACAGGACTAAGGGTTTCCATTTTTACTCCTTTAAAACTCCGTGAGCTCGCGGGG